AAAATGATATATTAAACACTTGAATTAAAAGAAAATTAAAAAATGAAAAAAAAAACCTTAAGGGTCTAGAAGACCAGAGCACTAGCCTAAGACTATTACAGAAGCGCTATCCTCAAATGAAAAAAAAGAAAAAACCACATTCCCAGCAGATCACAGCATACGGTACAAAAGACATTTTTATAAAAAAATTTGAATTATCACTAGGCAACCTGTTATCAGAGAACCTGTGCAAACCACCCAAGAAATTCAGACCCAGTCCTGTACACAAATCCCTTGAGAAAGAAAGCAACAACAACAACAACAAAATCTTTTTTGAAAAAGATCAATCAGGCATCAAGTGGAAGTATGCTGAAACTAACTGATCTGCCCTTCACATAAAAAGAGTTAAAATACTCATTTTACTAAGAGGTCGTATCAGCTAGATGCAGTGGACTATTTAACACACTAATATGGAACAAGTTATCCCTATATGGGCAAGGCTCAAATTTGAAAACTCAACTTTGAAAAATGCTTACTGGCAATCCACATCAATAAACATTTAATCAAAATCACCTTAAGCAGAGGTAGCAAGATTAAAATAAGACCTAAAACTCTAGAACTCATGGATCCCTTTTTTTTTTTTTACTGTAAATTTCAACTGCATGAAGTCATCTACTGTCATGAGCCATACAAGTTACCCATCTAACATGTACAAGCAAGCTGCTTCTCTTGTGATCTCTCAGAATCTACTTATATTGGAATATAGCCTCAAATACATAAAAATTAACGAACCTATTCAGTTATGTCATACTATGCAAAATTTTCTACAATCTTCTAAATTCTCTTCAAACTGATAGCTACTCAGATGTGTAGGAAGAAAGCTGTGATGAACAGAATTGTAATTTGTTGATGTAACTTACTTGAAATGATTAATATGGAAAAAGATCCCTTTAGAAAGGGGAAATGAAATAATTCTAGTAAACTGGCTCAAAAACGCAGAATATCCAAATGAACATGAAATATAGAGGTTTAAAACATGCATTTATAGTATGATCCAACAGCTGCTATTAAATGGAAGCACAAAACTGAAGTACTTCTAAAATGGTGGATAGGCACTTCTAGAAGCAGCACAACATGGTTGCTGAACTTTGATCATCCAAGAGGCATCTATCAGTCATGCAAAGTGAAGACACGAACTAGGTAAAGAAGTTTACTTATGCTCTTTAAACCTCCTTCTCTGTCCTATATGTACCATTTCACTCAAATAAAAAAGCCACTTAGAAACGACGATTTAATATACAAAGACTAGGTAAAGTTAATGATTGAAAGATTTTCAGCTCACAACTCTGCCATTTTTAATAATTTACAGGACAGTTAAACATACATCATCTGCATTCACGTTGGTTCCTGTTTTCTTTAATTCTAGAGTTAGCATCCAGTTATGGTAATTCCACCAAAACTTTAATGAGGATACTTAACATGACTTCATATCACCACAAAGGAACAGCTTCCTCTCCTGAAAAAGTTACTAAGACTTGACCAGAGCGCATTCTTCTGACCTCAGCAAAATTTTGCAAAAGGAATCTAGTATTTGTCAAGGTGGTATCACTTAGTAGTAGTAAGACTTCTCTACTCTGAAGTGAACGAATGAACCAAACAATGAGTTTTGTAAAAACAGCACCAAGATGTTAATAATGCATTACATTTCATTCACATGATCACACGAGTGATCATTTTTCCACCATTATAAAATATACTACCGTATTCTGAGTTTTTGAATTTTAATCAAAACACATTCACGCCTGAACTATAGAATGTATCACAAACTACAGAGCAAGCAAATACAAGTTTCAGCTGAAAAAAATTTGCCTTTCAGATCAACACCTGTATTTCCTATTTAACATTCCATTTATTTAATAGATGTCAAACTGAAAATCTTTTAATCAGACTACTTGCAGTAATTGCTGTAGCCCCTATGTGATTAAGAAATCCACCCCCTATTTAAAAATAAACATGGATTTACTTCTTTTTTTTAGGTAGTCTTATAGTTGTGGCTTATATTTATTTTTAAATTATAGAACGAGATGTCATAAGTACAGTACGGCCTACACCACATAAAACGTGCCTTGCATCATAGGTCCATGACTCCACCAAAAGACTGGCACTGCTAGCTCTAAGAATCAGGAAAGCGTATCTCCTTTTACAGCATGAGGTGAGGTCAGACGCTCTAAAGCTATTTACCTGACATCAGATTCTTTCTCAGGATAAATTAAAGTATTTCGGCAAAGATGATATATATCACCACATCAATGTTTTTCCATATAAGCTGTCAATGCTACAAAATGTATTGTATGAGAATACTTAATATGGCTTTGTATCACCACGGAGGAACAGCTTCCTCTACCAAAAGAGTTAAAACTCAGCCAGAGAGCATTACTCTGACCTTGTCAATCCTCATTAGTACGCTGTAGGGTGGTCACGAACTTAAAACTCCTCAAGTCCCCAGTAGTGTGCATCTAGCCTACTGAGGTCTACCTAACCTAAACATCAAGCTGCCATTTACTAGATGAAAACATGTTGTTCTTACAAGAAAAGGTAGCTCCAAAGGGCTCACAAAAGTAACAAGGGACATTTAAAACTGTTTTTATTATAATATCTGTTCAACACAAACAGCATGATGACCATATAGGAAATATATAAGACCATTAAGATCAAAGTGCTTAATTTCGTATTCATCACAAAACGCTCAGGTCAGACAAGATGACTCTGCTCGAGCACTGTATTTTATTTTTTTTTAAGAGCAGGTCAATTAAAAATGGCAGCTTTAGACATTTAAGGATTTAACATTAGGAATACAAGTCTTGAGTTTGAGAAGTCCAGCCCCATCATTACTATCAGACTTTTATGTGAGTCAGGCTAGTCTTGCCTTTATCGTAATAGACTGTGCAATATCTGGTGATTGAAAATTCACGTGGGATTTCAAATATGTTCTGCTGTTCTTCTCAAGGTACCTGATAATTTCTAACACAAACTTCTAATTCTCAAGCCTCACATCAGACAGTTACACAATGAAGTTCTAGAACATACGAGCCTTGTTCGTTAGCTGTGTTTTGTTGCAGGACATCCACGGTGTATGGTACATGTCTATTATCTGTAAATATTATTTGAATTCTGTCTTGCATATTAGCAGTGACTTACTGCAGATAAAGGTTTATTACAACCTAAAGAGACATTTTTAAAAAGCTTATGCAAAATTGGTACATGACTTCTCTTGTATGAGCAGGCTGAAGCCTTCATCCAAGCCAAGGAGAACAGCTGCACTCAGGTAGGGGTTCATAAGATCTGTATTCTTAAGTTATCATGATAAATTATGTAATTTTTAAAAGCAAATTATCAAGAGTATTTTTGGGAATCCTGATACACGTCTTCATGAAGACACCTTACGCTTTGAGGTCCTGAATACGTACTGAAGTACATTAGCATGGTAAGCTGCGAAAAAGAACCAGTTAAGACAGGCAAACAAGATCCCCAACTTTTAATTACACAGTGGTGAAAGCATGACTCAAATGTAACATGTTATTCTGCCTCTAAATGCAGAATCTTAAAGTGTAAAAAAAAAAAATCATCAAACATTAGAAAGCTGATTTGTTTATACTGCAAAAAGGACAGCAAGATACTTCTTAACAACTGGGTGCAGGTTTAGACTTTTAGAAACTCTTTTTTCAGCGCAAATTTTACTCTAAGTTTATTGTATAAAAACAATTTATTGGAAAGGAAAAGCTTATGAGTGTCACTTGCTAATGAACCAATACCCTGAACTGAAGGAAAGACATTTCTAAAGTTTGATTAGACTGAATGTCCTTAGTAGAGATGGCAATCCTCATAAGCACAGCTTTATTTTACAATGTGTTGACATGGTCATTTCAGATTCTTAAAAAAAGTCTTATTTATGAGTGACCATAAAAATCTTAGAAGATGTGTAAGGAGACATTAACATTACTGTATTTAGTACATACTAACAGTTTTCAAATGTACTAAAACTTGAAAGAAAATTCAACAAGGTAAAATATTGTAGCTTAAATGTTCAGTGTTTATTTTGCTAAAAAAAAAAAATTACTTCCAGGATAAGTTAAAAAAACAAAACAAAACAACCACCACCACCACAACACAGTATAACATACCTGGTATGCACAGTACAGAATTTTGCTCAAGGTCTTTTAACCCAACCAGCCATCTGAATCTTTGGAAGTAAGAACAATATCCAGTAACAGCCTTTAAAGAAAAAAAATAAAACCAGGTTTGTCTGAAAACAAAGGTACATACAGATTTTACCTACAGTTCTAATGTTCTTGACTGATATAAACATGAATATATAAGTATGAATACCTGAAATCTAGGGTTATTACTGTCATATACAAATTCTACAATATCTCCAAGCATTAATGTTACAAACTCATTAAGTACAAAAACCAAACATTTTTAAAGTTCAATGCACATTTTCACTGGTGAAATGGGACATACAGAACTTCTAGGTTTATATGAAAATACTGTCATTTCCCACCGAATACAATGCATATGTATGTGTATACATATATTAAAAAAATAACAATCTACTTAGCTTTAGTAAACTAAAATTTATACAGAAGTAGCAGCATAAACATCACGTTATTTTAAAAGTCTACCCGTATCTGCAAAAAAAGGCTTTTAAGAAGTCCAGATAATTTATAAAACGTGTCCCCTCCAATTTAAAAATTACATACTTTTTTCCCCTCGTCTGCACAGTAGCAAAAAGGCAAATCCCCAGATCAAAAAAGAAAAAAACAAGGAAATGAACATACTACCACAAGTTATAACCACTCTTACCTAAGAAAATAAGGTATGAACGATTATTCTGGAAGCCAGTCAGGAAACAAGGTATTGTTCATGGAATTCTACCTAAAAAAAAGAAAGTACGGAAATTTTTAGCATTTTCCTTTAGAAAAGCAGAACAAGTCAGATGCTTGAATTTTATTGATGTTTAGGTAATTATTAAGTTAGGAAAAACTTATGATAGCAGTAACTGTATCTTTAGAACTGAACTCTAAAAATAAAAGTATGGGTGGCTGTACATACTTGGCTGAAGAAAAACACTGGAGATGAAGACTGACTGACATACAACATGCATTATCTGTATTTTTGCATGAATAACTGCAACCTGCTCTTCTGCCTCCCATTACTTTAATTTTGAATGACTTAAAGATCTAGTGTCTAGTCAATTTAAGATTTTTTCTTAAGAGTAATTTATCACACAATACCTCTCAGTCCTTGTACTTTTTTTTTCCCACATTAAAGTCTTTAGAAGAAGGCTATGCAAAATTAAATAAAACCTCTAGTAATAGCAAAGTAGTTTTAAAATGGCTTCTGCCATCAGCTTCTCTGAATTTTAAGTCAGAAGTTACTTGATCTCCCCAAAAGAGATATCTTTTTTGCCCTTCAGAATACAGTTTTAAAACCTTCAGCTTCTTTAACCTTTAATCACATCCCAAACTATGCTCTTTAACACAAGGAACACCATATTTGCACTACCTCTAGCCAACTTTTCTCGCCTTTTGTGAAAAGGCTTAAGATTTTATTTTGCAGCATTTATATTTATCACCACTATTTCATACTCTAGAACAAGTCTGGAATCATTCTGTAAATACGTGGGTAATTTAAAAAAACATTTTAATGTTACATTAAAAGACATCTAAATATAAATTAAAAATCCTATACCTTATATATACAAAAATGCAGAAGCATTAAATAAAATACATTAAGAATTAAGAGCAATTTATTTTCAGAGACACTTAGCTGCTATTTTATTTTCAGTCGCTGAAACAAACAAGGTCAAAGCTATTTAAAAAATTATCCCCTAACATATTAAAAAAAAGAAAAATACAGCAGACACCCACCTAAAGCTAGAACTTTCTTTTCAGCAAAGTGTGTATGTCAGAAGCTGTTCTACACTGCAGAACTGTTGCTGGGGTTATAAAACCACCATAATCCAAATCTAAAATAAAGATTCCGAACACTCTGCATAAAGGTGATAGCAGTCCAATGGTTACTGAAACTTGTATTTATATTTTCCAAAAAAGCCAACTTTCACTGTTGTAATGACGGATTCGTATTTGCAGAGGAAGTACGGAAAAAATGTAGATTTACCTCCAACTGCAATATTTAAAACCTGCACAGAGTTTTATAATCCTGTACAAGTGCACACCAGATAAATCCAACAAATACGGCTATACACAATCTCCAATTAAAACTGAAGTTCTTAATATTTACTTTTTGCTCTACTACAGTGACTTTTTATACATTTGGAATTACAATTTTACCCTTAAATTGGTAATTGCTGAATGCGAGCCTACGCAAAACAAACATCAGGCATTCCATTTAAACTTGCGTTTTTAGAAAGTCTTGCAATAGGTGTTGTACAACTTCTAAATTATTAACCATCGAAACAACGATAAAAATGCTACGTAAACAGAAATGACTGCAAGCTCCCTGAAAAATGCGTAAACTGAATACTAAAGCCAAAACTGACACCCAATAAATGCTTTTTAAAAGCTTTTAATGTCACACACAAACCCACTTGTTTCCTTATCATGTAAATACATAAAATTAAGTAACTACCTTTTCTTCTCGTAGTGTCGTCTAAATCACAACTGTAGTATTTTGCCAACTTTAAACTGTAGACTTGGCATGATCGACCTTTGTTTTTTGTAAGCTTGTAAGTTTTTGTATTGCGGTTTTAATTGCAAAATCATATTGCCCGTAATTCTTAAGAGTTTTCTTTAAAGTTCTAGACCTGAACTGCTGTTTTTCAAGTGAAGTAAATTTCTATCTATTGTTTCAGTAAAGTACTAAGCTGTCTCATCCGCAGCCTGTTTTTTTCTTACTGGTTTAGAAAGAGTTAAAAGCCAACACCCCACAAAAAAACCACCAAGTTTTATTTTTAAGAGAAAAGGACATGGCGTCTTTGTTCTTACAAACTACGAAAACATATCCCTATCTGAGCAGCAACGGGCAACAAATGCTCTTTAAACAGATACGGGCTCGGGGCGAAACATTTAACTGATGATGTAGTAGAGTCTTCACCTCTCCCCCCCCTCCCCTTACTGCTGCATTGGAGTTATAAGCTGGTTTGCAGATGCCCCCCTTCCATACTGCACTGGAGGGGAACAGGTCTGCAGCCCCCCCTCTCCTCACTGCTGCATTGGGGAACCCGTCTGCAGCTGCCCCCATCCTCCGTGCTGCATTGGGGGACGGGGTGTGCGGAGCCCCCTCGGTGCTGCATGAGCGAGGGGGAGGGGGAGCGCTCTGCAGCCCGGGAGCCGACGAGTGTCAGGGGGGCGGGCGCCGGGGCGGCCCCCCCTCCCGCCGCTCCCTCCCCAAACCGCGCGGCTCCCCCCTCACCCAAAAGGGGTCACGGAGACGAACGGGGGTCCCCAAGGTTCCCCTCAGGGAGCGGCGAGGGGGGGCAGGGAGAGCCAGGCGCCCCCTCCCCCTCCCAGCTCCAAGGACATTTTGTTTTTCCTCCCAAGGACAAAGGACAATGAGAAGCGAGGAGACTCAGGCACTTACCCGGCGAAGAGACCGCGCGGCTCCCCCCTCACCCAAAAGGGGTCACGGAGACGAACGGGGGTCCCCAAGGTTCCCCTCAGGGAGCGGCGAGGGGGGGCAGGGAGAGCCAGGCGCCCCCTCCCCCTCCCAGCTCCAAGGACATTTTGTTTTTCCTCCCAAGGACAAAGGACAATGAGAAGCGAGGAGACTCAGGCACTTACCCGGCGAAGAGCAGCCCGTTGGCAGGCAACGGGGGCCCTGAGAACGGGGCGCTGCTCCCCTCCTCGCCCTGCCCGCGGCGAAGGACGGCCCCGCGCCCGCCCGGCGACGGAGAGGCGCGGGCAGAGCTCCGGAGCCCGG